CCCCTGCCCCTCTCCAAGTGCCGCACCAAGCCCCGCCCCAGCGCGCGCTGCCCAAAGCCCCGCCTCCTCCAAGCGCCGTGCCGCCCGAAGCCCCACCCCCGAGCACTGCGCCGCCCAAAGCCCCGCCCCCCCCAGCACCGCGCCGCCGAACCAAAAATAAATAAATAAATAAATAAAAACCCTAGCCCCGGTCCCAAGGTGCTGCCCCAGGCACATGCTTGGTCAGCTGGTGCCTGGAGCCGGCCCTAACTAGATGGAAAAGGTAGAATTATCGTTAATGCAGAAAATGCAGATGTGTTCAATAAATATTTCTGTTCTGTATTTGCGGGGGGAAATAGTTGATACAGTCTCATCATATAACGAGGATAACATGTTAAACAGATGTTAAAGAGATGATACTAAAGTTAGACGTTTTTAAATCATCAGTTCCAGATAACATATATTTAAGAGTTTTGAAAGAGTACTTGGGAAGTTCCAGAAGTCTGGAACAAAGATAATGTGACAATTTTAATAGGGGTAAATGGGATGACCCAGGTAATTATAGGCCTGACATCGATCCCAGTCATGGTAATGGAGCGGGACACAATTAATAAAAAACTAAAAGAGGGTAATGTAATTAATGCAAATTAAGATGGGTTTATGGACAATAGTTCCTGTCAAACTAATTTGATATCTTTTTTTGATGTGATTACAAGTTTGGTTGATAAAGGTAATAATGTTGATGTAACACATTTAGACTTCTGTAAAGCATTTGACTTGGTACAGCACACCATTTTGATTAAACAACTAGAATGATATAAAATCAACATGGCATACAGTAAATGGATTAAAAGCTGACAGGTCTCAAAATGTATCTGTAAATGGTGAATCATCATCAAGTGGGTGTGTTTCCAGTGGGGTCTCACAGGGATTGTTTTTTGGCCCTACTCTATTTAACATTTTTATCAATAATCTGGAAGAAAACATAACATCATCGTTGATAAACTTGGAAGATGACACAAAAATTGGGGAGTGGTAAATAACAAAGAGGACAGGTCACTGATACAGAGCGGTGTAGATCACTTGGTAAACTGGCTGCAAGCAAACAATATGTGTTTTAATATGAGTAAATGTATATATCTAGGAACAAAGAATGTAGGCCATATTTACAGGCTGGGGGACTCTATCCTAGGAAGCAGTGACTCTGAAAAAGATTTGGTGGTCATGGTGGATAATCAGCTGCACATGAGCTCCCAGGGTGATGCTGTGGCCAAAAGGGCTAATGCATTCTCTGGATGCATAAACAGGGGAATCTTGAGTTGGAGTAGAGAGGTTATTTTATCTGTGTGTTTGGTGCTGGTGTGACTGCTGCCATAATACTGTGTTCCATTCTGGTGTCTACAATTCAAGAAGGATGTTGATAAATTGGAGAAGGTTCAGGGAAGAGCCACAAAAATGATAACTTGAATAGAAAACAGACTCCAGGGGCTCAGTATATTTAGCTTAACAAAGAGAAGTATAAGGGATGGCTTGATCACAGTCATTAAGTAATTAAATGGGGAACAAATATTTAATAGTG